CACACACACACACACACACACACACACACACACACACACACACACACACACATGCACACACACACACACATGCAACATGAAGTGCTTTACTGGCTCCACATCAACACCAGACCTGGGGGCAGCAAGAAATGGACCTCCACGTCAGCGCTGCTCTGCTGCCACGCCACCAGCCGCGCCAGCGGCACGGCCCGCCACGCAGCACGCGCTGCGCGCTGCCCCTCAGACGGCCCCGAGCTCCAGGCCACCCTGAGACCGTCCTCATCGTATCGCGGCGCACCCCCCTCTCTGACGTTCGGCGCCCGACCCGGAGCTGGCAGCCCGCCGCCCCGCTGCCGCCGCTCCTGCCGCCGCTCCCGCGGCAGCTGCCCGTCCTTTGCTGGCCGCATGCCATCCGGAAGCGGCTGCTGCTCATTCGGCGCGCCCCCAGCAGGCCCGTCCGCGCGGCGCTCCTCAACTGCCTGCCGCACGCCCTTGCCGTCCAAAGCGCCGTCCACCGCAGGCTCAACAACAGGCCCACTGGTTCCGCCCTTCCACCACGCGGGCTGCTTTAGGAGCGCCTCCAATCTGAGCAGGCCGCCGGGATCCAGCGTCCTCCAGAAGCCTGAGCGGGGTGCGCGGCTGCTGGGCAGCCCCGCGGCTCTGCGGGCGCGCTCCAGCGCCGACAAAAACAGCTGGCGCGCGGTTGGCGGGCGTCAGGGGTGGGGAACAGGCAGGTGTGATGAGGGCGATGTTGTCAGGGGGCGCGTCAAAACGCGAGCCGTTACAGGATCAGGGGTTGCGTGAAGTGGGAGAGGTTGACTAAGCAAATGCTTGGTGGGGTCAGCACTCCGTAAGTGAAGACAGCAGCAGTGGGCACCACGCACACAGCACAAGGCCTGTGCGTCGCTTTCAGTTTCTTGCACGCGCACCTGCCCGCAGGCCTCCAGCAGTCGCGGGTCTGCGGCTGCGTCCTCGGCTGCGCTGGCAGCCCCTATGCCCTCCACATGCGCAGCACGGGATATCACGCTGTGAGCAAACTCCAGCACGCAAGGCACCCCGGCTGCACACGCCGCTGCGTCGCCGCAGAGCGCCGCAAATTCCCGCCCAGGCAGCCCGTCCACCGCCGCGCACAGCTTCTCCGCCGCCGCCAGGCGCGCTGCGCCCGCGCCTGAATAAATCAGCAGTCCAGTCAGCGCGGCGCCCGCGGCCGCCTCCAACACATCGGCCCTGAAGGCGCCGCTCGCCGCCGCCATCACGCCGTACAGCCGCTGGGTGCGGATGACGACGCCCGGCGGGCCGTCAAACTCCGACAGGCGGCGCAGGGTCGCGGCCACGTCCGCGGCTCGGAGCTGCGTTGCTGTGGCGGCAGCTGCAGCGCGGCTGCCTGCAGCGGCGAGCGCGGCAAGGGCGTCCAAGGCCGCCTCAAGCGTGGTGGTGGCCGGCGGCAGCGGCTTTGGCGGCTGTCCCGTTGTAAGAACTTGGAACAAATGGTCCGCTTCCAGACGGACAGCAGCGGAAGCCCGCGGGGCGGGCAGGTTCGCCCCGCAGGGGTCTGCCGCAAAGGGGCGCTGCTCGTAGCCGACAGTGGAGCCGTCCCAGGCCAGCTGGACATGTGCGGTTGCGCAGAGAGCAGGCAAGTGACAACAGCGAGCGTGCCAAGGAAGCGCAAGCACATGTGTGACCGACATTGTGGTGGTGTTGTCGCTTTTTCACCGGTTCCCAATACATTTGTTGCTGCCGTCCCTGTCCTCCCAAATGCAACAAATAGCAGGCCCAGGCCAGCGCGCGCCGTACCTTGCGCACAGCGCGCGTGGGGCAGGCAGCAGAGAGGTCTGAGACCACCCTGTGGAGGGCTGCGCACGCACAGCAAGCGATGAGTGAGTATTGCTGAGCAAGAGATGCGCCTTGGGCGCACTGTAGATTGCCATGAGGCGCATGCATGCAGCGCAAAGGCCGCGGCTTTTCAGAGCCCCAGGCTCTGCTGTTCTAAGGACTCCTGCCAGCCGCGCTCAACGAGGCAGTTGGTCGGCGTCTCAGCAGCCTCACACCTGACGCAGCTTCCTGGACCCAGTCAGGCGCCGCCCCGCCGCTCAAACCACCTTGTTGCGCCAGCAGAGCTGCCCGTGGGCCTGAGGCGGGCAGCTCAGCGCACATCGACGCAGTATCCTCCAGAACTTGCCGTGCTGCCGCACAGCAGCCCACTTCGGCAACCCAGGCGGCCGCGGCGCCTGAACCCTCCACACTGTGACGACCGCTGCTGCCGTGCCTGATGGCGCCATAGAGCCGCAGCAGCAGCGGCACAGGGTGCATCGGCCAGGCGAGGCCTCCCGCTGTGGAGCCTTTGTCCTGAGGCCTGTCACTTGCTGGCATCAAACTGCCAGGTCCTGGCAGCTCGCAGAGGGCCGCCGCTCTGTGTGGTGCGCAAGGGGCAATGATGTATGCGTGCGGTGGGCAACACGTGCGTGGTGGGCTTGTGACATTGCGCGATAATCATGTCGGATACGGGGCGCCTGAACATGATTGCGCACGTACTCGCGCCCAGATGGGTTACACAACATATGCGTGTGCATTCATTGATAGAGTCAGACAAGACTCTATTCAACGATGCACGTCAGCTGAGAGCACTGCATGCACACCTGATCACTCCAGACAGCGCTGCGATGCCGCCAAAACCAAGGCTGCCGAGCCAATGCCCGCCCTCGAGGCCGTCGCCCCCACCACCACCGCGGCCGCCCGCCTCAGCTGCTGTGGCGTCTAGCAGGCGCTGCACAGGGGCACGCCAGCCGGGCGGCAGGCCGGTAGCTGGCATGCATGTGACTTGTGTGCCGCCCTCTGAATCAGGAAAGCTCGCCGCCGCCCTCAGCAGCCCGGTCTGCATAAGGCGCAGCGCGGCGGGCGCCGCGCTGTTTGAGGCTTCCGAGGCAAGCGCCGCCAGGCGGCGCGGCACGAAAGCCGGCCAACCGCCGGGCGCTCCGTCTCTAGTGCTGTCACCGACACTGGTGCTGCCAATTGCGCCGTCGCTGATGACGCCTGCATTGCTGTTTTCCAGAGGTGTGGTTGTCGGCATGAGCAGCAGGAGGCCCTCTGCTGCCCGCTCCGCGTGCTGCGGATCGGCGAGCGCAGTCAACAGTGCCTGGGCGCCACCCGCGCCTAGAAAGGCGCCAGGCGCCTCAGGCGCAGCCAGCGCAGTTGGCAAGCGCGCCAGCAGTTGAGCGACTGCATTGTCTGGGCTGGTGGTATCCGCATAAGAGTATGGTGCGCCTTCATCTGCGGCATCGGCGCACAATGCTGCCGAGAGGCGCACCGCAAGGTGCGCCGCCTCACACTCCTCCGTATGGCTACAACATACTGCAGGGTCAACTGTAAATTTAAATTGCATTGCTCGAGGCGATGGCTCTGCGTGATCAACGGCCATCCTCATCGCCACGGAACCCACAGTCCATGCATACGAACTTACACAACGGAATTTTGAATTTTATTGTATTATTTTTTGGTGCCATAGTGTCTCGATCGTCTCTCGTTCCCCGGGTGTACCTCCAGCTTCTGCCTCGGGCACGCGACCAACATTTCCCCTCTGCTTCGTTAGCCCGAGGTACTCGTTTAGTTTACGTTCTTGCCAAACCTCATCTGGAAGAGGCGCAATGGACAACGTCGCAGCAGGCATGCTCCCCAAGTGGAGGCCCAAGGCGGCGTTTGCCATGCGCGTAATCCAGGTAGGCGCGCGCGTAGCCGTGCATTGTGTGCCCTTCATGCCACAAGGTGCCCTTTATCAAGCAAAACAGTCGTTTTCAATAATCTTGAGCATGGTGGAAAGGGTCTGTTGGGCTCAGGTGTTGCAGCAGGGCCATGCCATGCCCCTGCCTCGAGGCGCCTCGAGCCAGCGAGGCGCGCACCATGGCTACATGTTGGCGGCTGCGGACCCCTGTGCATGCTAATTCAAAGCAGTCTCACCAAATCACCACGGAATACTCTCTTTTTCACAAATGGCTGCATTTGGCCAAGCACGTGCACCGCTTTGACGAGGTGCCCATGCCACTTTCGGCCAACCCATCAGCAGGCGCCGCCTGACGTCTTTTCATAACCAACACGCGCCCCATGGAACCCGCGCATGCGTGCAGGCCGCCTTCAGCGTGGTGATGCTTGGAACCTGCGGCCACGTGGTCCGCTACTTTCCAGGGTTCGGTCCCGCCGGCCTGGGCATCTTCACCTCCATCCTGACCCTGGGCACCGCAGTGCTGTACCTTGTTTCGCCCCGCGTCGACCACCCAGAGCTCCACAGGTTTGCACTGTTCAAGAGTGCGCACTGCAGAAAAATCCCAAGGATTGCAGTCTTCATCGCGCTTTGCGCATGTGTGAGACACTGTTTTACGTAAAACAGCGGATGATTGTTTGTGCTACCGCCTCCTGCGAAATTGACAGGTTGGCGCCGCCCTCTGGCCTTCCTGTGCACCACCCCTCCCGCATCCGCAGGGCCCTGCCAGGCCTGCTTGACATCATCTTCTCGGGCGTGTGGGCCATATTCTCGCTTGCGGTGGGCGCTGGCACTGCCTCGGCCGACCTCTGCTCCACTGGGTGGGGCGGCTACTATGTGTATGGTGCGTTCACGGTGCCCGCTCAGGGGAGGTCAGCACCTCAGGCTTCGAGCTTCGTTGCCTGACAATCACAACAGTTGTCGTGCTGTTCAACCGCGCTACAAGCTGTGCTCGTGCAGGCGTCCTCACGCTCGTGGTCCCTGGCCGGCCCCCACCAGCCTCCACCCCTTCGACGCGCTGCATGCCCATTGCGCTGCATGCCCTTTGCAGACCCTGCCTCCAGAGCAGATAATCCACACCCGACTTGGCCTTGCCGGCACGACCGCCCGTCCTGCGCGACCGCTTCACATCCTCCTGCACACGCGCGTGCGCGCGTTTGCGCGTACACACACACACACACTCTCTCTCTCTCTCTCTCTCTCTCCTTCCACAGGTTACTGGGTCTCAATCGCGGCCCCGGCCGGCGTCTGCGCCGCAGCGGGCCTCGCAATCGCCTCGGGCTTCGTGCTGTTCCTAGCCTTCTCCTTCTCCGCAGTCCTGGCGGGCTTCGACCTGAGGGACGGCCACGGCCTGGTGACGTCAGCACGAGCGGCGCCACGCAAGCAAAAGTCTCCCGAGCATTGGGGCGACATTACGGCCGCCTCGGCGGGCAAGGCGCCGGCGACGGGCACAAGCGGTTCTGGCGGTGAGCGTGGGTCTCCATTCTGTGCGTCCGTTCGGGTTTGCAATGCTGTGACGTTGTCAGCCAGTGTGTGGCCAAGGCTGTGCTGGGTGAGTACATGCACCCTCGCCTTCAAGGCTGACGCCTCCTGCGCAACCAGAGCGAGCCGTACCAAAGCACCGCGACGCTGCTCACAGACTGCACATGAAAGGGGGGGACCAGCCCTTGCGCAAAGCTCACATGCCATGCAGGTTGCGAAACAGCTGCCCGTTGACACTGGCACCCCCTGTCTCTCTACTTCGCCCCTGCCTGCAGTCCCCCCTTCTACGGCGGCTCAGCAAGTTTGAGTGTTTGATGAACCCCGCCAGTCGCTGGCGGCAGCTGCAGGCGCCCCAAGGATCAGAAAAGGATACCAGGCTGATGGTGTGGCAAGCACGACAACTGCCCGAATAGATGGGTCCAATCCCAGTGATAACCCAAGCAGGCGTACCTTGTTGGGCCTCCTTGCTGCTGTTGGACCCCTCTCGTGCAACACAACACCTGGTTTATTACCAATCTTTTACCACGCGCCACAAACCTGATTGCAGCAACACCTAGGGTGTGATCATCCTTGTAAACAACTGGTTGTGTCAAGTCGACGGGACACGCCACTGGATGCACCCAACACACAGTACCACGAGGCACAAACATCCTGCGCAAAACGGTCAGCTGCCACTGGAATACTCAGCAACATGCAGATGCCATCCTTGCTTTCTGAAGCCGCCCGGCAAGCCCCAAGCGCACCCTAAGCGGGGAATCCAGGCCAGTACGAGCCTTTCGTAAAACGGGACGCAACGCTGCCGGGCCCGCTCACGCTCAGTTGGACAGCGACCGCATGAACCGCGACATCCCGGTAATGACCTGCCGCAGCTGCGACCCCAGGTCCGCCGGCGCCGCCGCGCCGCCCTCGGCGCCCGCGTTGGGGTTTAGGGCCTGGTCGATGATGAAGTCCAGGGCCTCGCCTGCGGGGCGGCTGGGGCGCTCCGCAATCATCCGGTACCTTCAGGGGGCGGGTGGCCGCGTTGCGGTTGGTCGGGTCGCTGTTGTTACCGGTGTTCTTGTTGTTGGTGGTGGTCGCGGCATGGCTAGTGGCGAGTTGCTGGCAGAGGCGGCGGCCCAGGTGGATGCTCCACGGGGCGGGCAACATCAGCCCCAGGCGGTGGCACCATGATGCTGCTGCTCCCGTCATCACAATATGCCCCCATTGATACACAGGGCACGCAGCCCTTTGCGGCCTCGTCCCTACCAGCACAGCGTGTGCATACAGACAAGCATACGCGGCGGTCATGAACACACACACACACACACACACACACACACACACACACACACGCACGCACACACATGCACGCACGCACACACACACGCACGCGGCCCCCTGTGCGCACCTGCCGGGCAGCTCCGGCTCCTCCACAAAGACCTTCCACATCCCGGGGTAGCTCCTGAACACGGTGCCGATGTCACCCACCGGCCGCAGGCTGTAGGTGACCGTGAAGCGGCCCAGGAAGTTGTCGCGCATCCGCCGCGCGTTGAGGCCGATGCCGACGTCGCCGCTGGCGGTTTATTAGGCAGGGGCCGGAAGGTGGGCAGTCGGTGAGGTGCACAGTGCAGAGGAAGGGAGGAGGCAAGTGAGTTCGGAAGCACATTGCGTGAAACTGCCGTGAACCACCCCTCTTGGCCGTCTGAGCGTCCAGAGACGTCGGCTGGTTCCACATGTAACCCAGTGTCATTATCAGCCCAACAGCCACGTTCCTTGCTGCGAACCCCAATTCCAAGCACTGCCGCTCAACACCACGGGCTTTGTCTGCCATCTGTTTTGAGATCAGGAGGGGAGGGGGGCGGGGTCAATGCTGCCGCTCACCTGGACAGCCGCTGGTTGAACAGCACCACGGGGCGGTCCGGCACGCCCTCCTTCTCATCCTGGTCGCCGATCTGGGGTTGAGGCGGCCCCGCATGTGCGCAGTGGAGGGGTGCATGGGCATAAGAGGCGCGAGAGACACGGCCAGCGGGATTCAGCACCAAGGAATCAAGCAGGGGGGATGGCGCCAGCTATTGGTTTCCAGGTGCAGATTTGTGCCGTTATGCAGCCTCTCGCCGAGGCTGTGACCACGACTCGCCCCCTCTTGTCCCCGCAGCCGCCAGACGCGCTCGCCCCTCACTTCGTCGCAAACGCACCATGCGCACTGCCTTCAGGCAGTCGTCCGCGCCGGGTGGGTCGGGGCAGGCGATGATGATGAGCTCATCTTCGGTGGTCACAGGGCGGCGGCTGTTGAGGGAATCGATGGCGAACGAACGGTCCTGGGAGTCCAGGGAGGGGCGTGGGCGCAGGGGTGCGAGGGAGGTCACAGCCGGCATCAAAGGGGATGCGAGATGGCGTGGGGCCGGAGGTGCGAGGGAGGCGGCAGTTGGGGGCAGGCGGCGGCGTCACTGCGGTGAAGCAAGGGCCTGGCAACTGCACGGGCAGGAGGAAGGCAGGGTTCCGCGGCTCGCGCTGAGGTGAGTGTGTTCGGTCGTGGCAGCGGCGGGGCGCCATCCAGCGGCGGGCGCGCTGCTTCGCAACTCTGCCTTGTGCGTGGGGGCCCCGGCGCGGTCCGCACC